ACCTTCTACTACGACTGGAGTTCTGAAAGTGCAAAAAAAAAAACAGGAAAAAAAGAAATCAAACAATTTCAAAATTCAAATAACAACTTTCGCGGCGTCAAGCAAGAAGCGCATCGACTGCGCACGTGCATAAACTTGTCGATACGCAGTGTATGCAAGAATTGGATTTGGGGCACGACGTGAGGCAATCGCATCCTCTCCCCGTCGTTTTTGTCTCCCATTCTTTCTGCTGAAGTCATTCTGAATTGAGTTATGTCTAAATCAACTCTGTTTCAACCGCTTTCTAATCTGCATGATGTTCTTATGCTCGAGGAGGTGATAACTGTTAGTTTCAGTTGATCATCGAGGACTCTTGCACCAGAACAAATGGCTGACGCAGGAGGGTTCGTATACGCCTTTTTATCATGGCATTCACTAGAAAGGAGTACGTTATTCTTTTTTTCAGAGATGAAGTTAAAGTTACGGCAGCGGCACCGGCGGTTATGGACGTGCAAGGAGCCTTGAAGGCTGTCCTCCGTTCTGCCAGCTTTGCCGATGGACTGGCAAAGGGTCTCCATGAGGCTGCTAAAGCCTTGGACAAGTATGTTTTAATGGATACCAAATTCTGTTTTTTAACCTTGTTTTGAAGCAAAAATTGGATTTGTTATGCTTTACTTCACTGGTTACCTGTTGTCTGCTGCTAGAGTGCGATGACAAAGGCGGTGTCGCATAAATCCGGAAGATAGGGGCTCCAGATGGGAGCGTTTTTAACTGGGGCACTGCCCAATAAACAACGTAAACACTCACGGCAAGGAAATCACCCTTTAACCCCTCAAACCCCGCTCACCGTACAATCTAGCACTTGCAGTTGCATGTTGGAGACCTGTCACTTAGTGTGCGGTTTCCTCGCGGCAGCGGTCAGTGAAGTAAGTTTTGCGCTAGACTGCCATATGGAGCGGAGTTTGGGGAAGAGGCGATTTTCTTTTGGGGAGTAATCTGCGTTGCTACTTGGGTAGTTCTCAGAGTTCGCAGGCGATCTCCATCAAAAGGATAATAAAGTCAGCGGCTCGGCAGATTGACATCGGGATAGTCATCATCCTTCTCAATCCCTTTGGATGGGCTGCAGATTGACATTGGGATAGTCATCATCCTTCTCAATCCCTTTGGATGGGCAAAGTCCAGGACTGTGCCTTGCAGCTTCAAAGGATATCAATAACCCGCTTAGACGTGAAAAGTGTATTTGGGTGGACCGAGTATGCCTGCCCTTTGGAGCGCGATTGGATCGTGAGTGGAGATACCGAACTCACCGTACCCACGAGCCTATCGCGCTCTAAAAGGTAAACATACGCGACCCGCCCAAATAGCACTTTTCACGTCTGGAAAAG